TTTGATTAACCCCTCACAGATTCAGAGTTGATCTGACCACCCCTTGCATGAGATGCCGACTCACTAATAGCCGACGGTTTACGACCAAAGTTTAATAAATAGTTCCTCTGGTCGTCATTGGTGTGACGCAGACTCGCACGTAGAAGCTCAGCGGGCATTTCCCTCTTTATTGCCAGCTCCAAAACATCTGCTGCACTCCCTTGATTCTGACTGCGGATCGTCTCATACTTGCTCCTGCAGTATTTGGTAAGAAGGTTGAAGAATTCATCAAACGAGGCTCTCCACAGACCATCATTAGAATTCCCAAGGTTGGCTCGAGAAACCACCACTACTTCAGCAGCTCTCTCAAGAAGAGATATCAAGACAACTGAAGCACCGTCCCCAGCAGAACTTCCAATAGGACGCAGAGGTGGCTGCTCTGAAGAACAAACTACCGCTGCAAGGCAAGCACTCAGTGCTCGGAGGTCCATGGCTTGAACACAGACCGTGACTGCTTTGGCAAGATTAGCAATCGTCTCTGCTGCTAGAGTATCTGAAGGCAGACCGCCAAATAGAAATCTCAAGTGGCGAAATATAGCCATACAGACAACTCGAGCAATCTCAGTACCTGGAACTAGAAGTTGTATATAATTTGTAAGCATTTTCCGACCCTTGGGAAGAGTCGCTATACGTAGAAAGACAACATCATCCTTAGCAGTCATCCCGGATTTCTGACCAGTTTTGCTGAACGGGTCAGCAAGTTGAAGTGCTGTTGCTAATCCTTCAAGCAGGATCTGCCGCTTTCTCTTGATCTGAGCACCTCCGTCCTGGGGCCTAGTGGATTGGAGAGTCCTGTCAATGTCAACTACGTCAATAAGAACTCCAAGAGCATCTTCAATCGTGACCCTAGCTGCAACAAGAGGTTCCTGCTCTAAATGTTTTCCTGAGCCCTTACGATCCGCGCTTCCATCGTTAGAACCAGGAGAAGACTCAACCTCGAGCAAGGCACGTGGCCTGCGAATAGAAGGCAGTGTAATCTTTCCAAGAGCATCTACATGAACTTGTGGATGCTGTTCAGAACTATTACGAGACCGAGGCTGGTGGTCCTTCAACTGAGAAGGATAGAAGTGAGAGACTGTTCTAGATCCGGCAGACTTCTTGGCGAGCTGAGCTTGGTGGTAATAATCATTGACATAGGTATCATTGCTGTGTGAATTGGAATGCTGCATCTTGAGTATACTCTCTATTTCTTCTGAAGTCATGTATTTTGATCTAAACTGCAATCCACTTTCACTTTTCTGACTAGCTGCGTCTGATGCTTGTTGGGAGATGCCTCTGTTCTTTCGACTTCTATGAGATGACCTATGTTTGTGTTCTCTAACTTCACCAACCCCAAAAGGTACTTTACGTGATGGCGAAGGATAGGAACTATACAGTTGGGACTGTAGCGCCGCAAGTTGAGCATACGATTGTCTCTGCTGAAGGGCGATCAAATGTTGCGACATAAGACCATTTCGAGGAGGCAATTGTTGATGCTTTTGTTGCACCAGATTATGTAATAAACCACTATGATCTCCGTGCAGAAGACCAGGATCAGTGACCCAATGAGGTTGCACCATGTTACCAATCGTAGGACCACACGAAGCATATCTAGCCAAATTACCACCATAGTGGGGCCCGTGGGCCAATCCTGAGAGATGATAACTAGAACTTGACAGAGGGGGAGGTGCTGAAAAGTTCAACTGAGTACCACCAGGAAGAGAAGGAGTGCGATGGAGATTTCCGGGTGAAGCCTGCGGAGATCTGCTACCAGGCGGGGGAAAGGATGTAAAAGTTGATTCTGGTAAAATTATCGGTTCACTATTGTAGTGCTGCAGCTGTGGTTGCTGCTGAGGATAAGAGGATGTCCTGTACAAAGGTTTTGAATGAACAGATGATTGCGGCTGGGAGGACCATCTCTTATCTTGATCTTGTTCATCCAACCAGCTTGTGAGCTCTGCATCGTGTGTCCAGTCGGTAGCAGAAGAACCTAGAGATAAAGTACAGTCAGAAAAACCTAATTGTGGAAACAATAGCTCGAAACAGGTAATTTGATGCTTCAAACGAACACCACTTAATGTGACCACAACACCAGGAAAAACCCAAAAGATTTCTTTAACTAACACAAAGTATCTCTACAATCTAACCCTTCACTGCAAAAAAAAAGAACCATGTCAACAATATGTGGACTCAAAAAAGGATTTAAGAACAAGTCTACTTTAAAAAAAAAGCGACCGACTTTGGCGAAAAACGGGCAGAGAAAAGGAAAAACTGAAGAACAAGCAATCTACCAAGTCTGTAATAGAACCCTAGAAGTATACAGTAGTAGCCAAGTTAGGAATTCAACTCACTCTCTCTTGAGAAGGATCCTGATCCTCTGTCACCAATAACTCCAGGGTGTTTGGGTCCGGTAACAACTCTGTTTAACTACACAAAAGAAAACAGATAGATTTAAAATCAAATGACAACAAGTCGAAACTGAAAAAAAGAAACAGGTACATGCATGACCCCTGACATGGTTACTTTCGTTAGCTTGCCAGGGGGAAAAGAAAATGATTATTACATGAGACCATGACATGGTAGTTAAGAATTCAAG